GGTAAGGAGTCAAGAAGGAATCTCATTCTATGCCGTGCCGTAGATGGCATCCATTTCCTCAACGAAAACCTTCTTCATGGCATTGAGCTCATCATCATAGACACCGGCGTCGACCAGTTCAACAAGTGTGAAAGGAAAATGGCCAACCTGTGCAGGTGATTCAAAGTATATGATGCCGTGAGAACGCAGCGACTCACTACTGAGGGCGAGGAAACTGGGGCCTGGACGTCCAGTCGCAGGGGCTGGCAGCTGTTTCAGGGGCTCGGACGGACTGGCGGACCAACCTTGCCAGAGTCACCATTGACCAGTTTACCGCGCCACAAGCCGTTTTTGGGCTGATGCAGGACGTGAATCAAATCCCCGGCCTGTCGACACAAGGTATACGCGAGAAGGCAAGAAAGGTGCAGGTGAGAGCAGACTCACCATCAGGGCGTTCAAAAATGGCCCCGCAGAGCGTCCATGAGGTGCCCGGAAGCCACACTCGATGAAAAAAAAAAAAAAAAAGTAATAATAATTTCGTGGTGGGAGGCAGGGGGTGTTTTGGGTTAGGGGATTGTCACCGACCTTGAAGCTGAGGGCACTCTTGTCAAAGCTCTTAGCATTGCGATCGAGTTTGGCGCGGCAGACAACAAAGTTTGGGCGGTCGGGCAGTTTGTCTTTGGAGAGCTCGTAGAAGTAAGATGGAACCACGCTGGATGAGGCGGGGGCACGGGCCGGGGCGTTATTGGGCTCGCGGGAGGGTAAGCTCGGGGTGACGACAGGGGTGGGGTCGATTGCAGCGAGAGTTTCGGCCGGAGGCGGAGGCAGGGGGCCACGGCTGGCGAGCGGGGGTGGAGTGGGATCAATGGCAGCAGGGGCCATGGCTTCGGGTGCAGGGGCTTCGGGGGCGGAATCAGCAGGTAAGTCTGGCAAGATGTTTTTGGCCGTCTTGAGGTAGTTGGCGGGGACCATGCCGATCTGGCGGGTGGCGCGGGACTGGGCCTTCCACCACTCGCGTTCGGTCACTTCGAGAACAAAGAGCTGCTCGCCCTTGCGGAAGCTGAGATCTTCCGGGTCACGGGCATTAAAGTTGTAGAGGGCGGTGGCCTCGGTGAGGTAGTTGGCGGCAAGTTCTGCCCCCACAAGTTCGCCCTCAAGGGGCAAAGGCACGGAGAGCGGGGTGGTGTCGAGCATATGGCGCTTGTAAAACTCGATAATCTCCGGCAGGTTAGCAAAAGACTCGTCACCAATTTCGTAGACGCAAGGGCTGCGGCGGTCAATCTTGTAGTGGCTGACCTTGCCACCCTCGCTGACGGACAGGACAAAGGAGCCGCCCTTGGAGCTATCACGGATGATAAAGGTACCTTCCGGAGTGCCGCGCAGGCGTGAGTCCGCGTCTGTGCGAGAGACCTGTCCATGATACCAAGCCGGGGCAGGGCCCGCCATGGAAAAGGCCTCGCGGCGGATCGTCAAGATGTCCTCCATGATTTCGGCCAGGAGCTGAGTCGAGGTGCCTGCAGACATCATGGCAAGCAAGCATCAAACCCCCCGCCTTGGTGAGCATACGCGCTCGCTACCATCCTGAAAAAAAAAAAAAAAAAAACACCAGCCCACACAGATACAACCAAAGCAACCCGGGCGCTGGTCCAAACGATCCCACACAAGCAGCCCTCACGTCCATCACAGCCCATACACACCGCTGCCAAGGAAACCGCTGGAGTGCCGTCGCCGCCCTGTGTGTGTGTGTGCGAGCACGGAGAGAGAGAGAGAGAGAGAGAGAGAGAGAGAAAGAGAGAGAAAGAGAGAGAGAGAAAGAATTGAAGAGAGAGACTTACTCACCCACACGTTCAGAAAAATAGAAAGAGAGACGAATTGGTTGAGAGAGCTTGAGAGAGCTTGCGAGAGAGAGAGAGAGAGAGAGAATTGAATGAGAGAGGATGATTCATTCTTCGAGAAAACAAGTGTGACTTCAAGCACACTTTTGGGTTTCTTTATTTTTCTTTGATTCAAAAAAGGAGAGGTGTTTTCATCCACCATTTCAATAGGGCAGTGGGTGGCAGTGGGTGTCCTGAGCTTTTGGTGCTGTGCCCGTGTGTGTGCGTGTACATGGCAGTGTAACTGGTGCTGCCGTTGGCTCTGCGATCTGGCGGCGGGTGGGGGGCGTGTATGGATGCGTGCGTCAGATTTAACAGGATGGCGCGGTGTGGTGGAGTGAATGCCTCGGCGCCGGAAAGATCAGCCAGGGGAGTGGAACGATCTGCTCGAAGCGGCCGGGGTCCCTGGATCGGCCGGGGCCTGGCCATTGTTGTGCTCTGTGCCCTCGGACTAGTGGGCGGCAAGCAAATCAAGGTGGTGGAAAATCCACGCAACAGTGGCTCGGGCGCTGCTGTTGGCGCTGACAGCGGCAGCTATCCCAAACAGACTCCGCGAGTGCCACCCTCCAATTTTACCGGCCCTGAGCTCTTTGCCAACACGACTCAGCTCTGCCTCAGCCATCATGCTTCCACGTAAGCCGAGGATAAAGCATGCCCCAATTGGCTTGATCAGGTGCCCGGCCACTCTCACTGACGACCTTGTGCACTCGGCTTTGGCTTTGTAGCTACGAGTATCGAGTATGTCTTTTTGATAATGTAACACAGCACGATACGCACAATTCATGGAATCCCTACCACGGGATTCTCGGGTAAGTCTGCAGTGGGGTGTTGTGTGTATGTGTGTGTGTGTGTGTGTGTGTGTGTGTGTGTGCGTGCCGCCTTCCTTTTTTTGAACCAAGTAGCCCTTCAGCTTTTCTTCTTCAGAGCTGATCCAACCCGGCACCAACTCTGCTTCTGGGTTCGCATGCTGCAATCCATTTCAGTGTATATCAGGGCTGGTCCATCATCAACGACACCTTTACTGCTATACTCTATCATGAGGGTGACCCGTGCGCTGGAGGCATTTTTCGCCACGTAAATGTAAGGCTACTTGGCTGAGCTTTTACCCGCCGCCCTCTTCCCGTTTATTTGTGATGGCAACCAGCAAGCTGATCTAGGTCATGCATGATCATGTCATGAAATAATTCGAAAGATTACCCTCTCTTGCGGCAGCAAGCATCGCATCATCAGTGCCGGCGAGCCCGAACGCTGTCGTTATGTTCTTGAAATGGAAACACCCCTGGCCTGTGATGATCAACTGAAAGGTAGTTTGCCCTTCTTTAAACGTACAGTTGCACCCACCCTTCGCGGGCATTTCTATGCCCACAAAAGCCAATGCTCAACCTGCTGCTCGTTCCCGTGGTGTCGGCACCTGTTTTTCTACGCGCGTGTTGTACTGTTCTAGTGGAGCGCTGGCTATCTAAAGCAGGGCGCCAGCGCCTGCAGCGACTCCGTGAAGAGTTGTACGACGAAGAGATTACCCAGAGCGGCTACAAGCGCCGTACCACACGCCTCTATCAAGACGAGGGTTTTCTGCCTCGCCCCACAACAGCCTCGACGACAACAACGACGACGACGACGACCACCACCACCACCACTGCTGCCGCAACTACCAAACCGGCTTCTTCTCCCTCAAGCTCGTCCAATGAAAAGGAGGCAGGGGTTAACGTGGATCACGGTGCCAACAAGGTGCTACGACTGGGTGGTGTTATCGCCGGCGGCCCAGAGCACAATGATGACATGACGCTGGACAGCCTGCCTGCTAAGGTTGCAGACACTTCTGATCGCTTGGTGGGCCACGCACCAGACCTGGTAGGTGTCAGTTTGAGCACACGCACAAAGAACGGCAGACGGATAGCAGCTGGGAGTGGCTACTGCACAGCCCGCGCTGTCGTGTATCTCACTTGCCTGTGCTTGATGGGTGCCTCTTGCCACATTTTGCAGCCTTGCCCAACCGCAGATCAGCTAGCAACACTGGAGCAGCAACTCGCGTTGCTGCGCATGGCGCTGAACTTTAGCAACATTTCCGAGGCAGAGGTGCAAGCGACATACGAAGCGCACCTCGCCGAGCAAGCGGATGCGTCTTCACCCTCGACCACGCCGCACGCCCCAGCACCACCCCCCGGGTTGGAGTTTTCGGTGCATCAGGTGGCGCGTCAGCCAGGGCCCCCAACGCAAGCGGTGGAGCCGGTTGCTGTTCAACTTGTGAGTGAAACGAACGATGAAGACGTTGGCATGGCCAAAGCCCAGCCAATCGCGGGTGCGCCCAGTGATTCAGTGGTTGGGGTCGACACCCATGCCGCACTGTGACGTGAATGTTACTCTTAGTTTGCCTCGACGCTGCTTCCTGGTAGCAGCGTCATGATGACCAGCACCCCAGCGCGTGCTGGGTCTGTCTCCTCTCTCTTGTGTTTTTTTTTGTCAGTTTGTGTCTGTCTATCTTGCAGTTGCGCCTTTGACCGTCAGCGACGGCAAGCACCGCATAATGTCCATTGACAAAATTCATTTCCAAAACTTTCAAGGTCCCTTGTGGTCTCTCGCCTTGACATGTTCTGCCAGTCTCTTAAAAGATATTTCTGAAGCCTAATGGCCATCCGCTTTTACCGAATCACGTGTTGTATGATCAATCTCGCCCGTGCAGGTTTTCGCTCAATACTGTGCCCACAAGTCTCCACTAGTCGAGGTCCACGGGACAGCCGTGAACGTATACGCGTTGGAGCTGCCGAGTCTGGTCCAGGCAGAGTAAATCAGCAAAAGCACCGACGGCGAGCCTTCCAACTCGCTCCAGTCTGCCGTTTTGCCGTCTGTCGTGAGCTCGGATGCCAAGTGCAGTCAATGGATCGAGACTGGGGCCATGTGGCAAGCTACCAACCCAGCAATGGTGGACGGAGTGGTGGCAACCATTGTAGTGGCCTGTGTGAGACTCAAGTGGTGCACCGTCTGAAGAAGACGCCAGCTCTCCATGAGCATGATGCAGCTGCCGGCAAGCTTGCCCGTACCCTAGATGGAATAGGAACCGCAATGCAGGTACAAATTAGGCCCGGTAACCTTTTTTTTTGTTTCGATTTAAGGGACAACAAAGAGCCCTACCTGTTCCACAACGCTGCGTCCATGGTCTGCAATCTCGAAAGGTTTGCCGTGGTAGCTAGCCACAGCTCCAGGAGGGCCAGAAAAAATGTTATCTGCGGTGCCACAATGTCATCAAACCAAGCCGTCTAGGTTTGACAGTCCAAAGCCACGAAGAAAGATGAAGCAAGGGGGGCCGTCGTGCCAACTTGCCGGTGATGATGGCCACGTCGGCAGGCAGCCTTGCACTCAAAAGACCCTGAATTGTAATCGGGTGCACGTGTTGGTGATCCAGGATGACCTGTGTGTTTATGGGTAGCCATCCATGAGGCGTGTTGGAGCCAAGCCCTGGCGGAGTCAGGTCGACGAGAACGACCCGAAGTGGAGGATCGACCACAGGAGCCGACCAAGCAAAATGGTACAAGTACAAACTTCGACGGTTGGTGCTTCAAGCGCATCGAGGCCTGGTATTCTGGGCAAGCGGTGGCACAGGCCAAAGTTGATGAGGCTGGGATTGCGATGGTGAAAGGCACACACATTAAAGAGGTGTGTGATATGAGCCCGCTGGCCTACACATGATGCGAGACCACCCAACGTGAGCTCAAGATGTAAAACGCGGGGTGTGTGGCTTAGAGCGACTAAAGAGCGCAGGTTTCAATGAACTTTGCTTGACGCTTTTGCATATACCATGTTGTGCAGCAATGGAAAGTTGACGCGTAATGTCTGCTTCTGTGGATGAGCGATCATGGCCAAGGGCAATGCGCACACCACGACGCGCCAGCTCCCTGAGGGGCGAACAACGAATGCGATGGGGTGAGTAGGCGAGCAAGGAAGCAAGAGGGAGAGCTGGTATGCCGCGTGCAGGCTGACTTGGTGGTGTGGTCATTCAAAGCTTGATCAGCCGTTGGGCTCACGGTCATGATCTTGAGATGAGCGCCCAGTCTGCGTCAGGCAATATCGGCGGTGTGAATGTTGGGAGAGACCACTGATGCACAGAGATGGATGTGCGTAAGGGGTCTCAAGGGCTTACCGGTCCAAGAGTTTGGTGACGGAGTCTGCAGTGGTGATGTCCGACTTTGGGAGAGCGCCCAAATCGTGAATAATAGGGCCCTCTATCCACCAATGGCAATAAAGGGACCCGGTGTGGGTTGAGCAGGGCTCACGCACAGAGGCACACGTGCCAGTGGTCTGGTCCGGGGTCGCATTGCAAGTACCTGCATGGAGGCCATGGACGACAGCGCCCTGGCCGGGCCGACCAACGACAGGCAGGACGGCTTCCAGTACACTGCAGTGTGGTGACGGGAGAAAAGTATCAGCGTGAGTGAGCAGGTGAGGGCAGGTTGCATACAATAGGTGCGCGACATGTGAAGCTGAAAGCCCTAAAAGTGATGACCTTGCACGTACGCATCCAGGTCTTGGCGAAGCGGTATGATGGAGGCCAGGGTGGCGGTGGTACCGGCTCGGGCCAGTTTGCCAAGTGTAAAGTTGGGGTTGAGCCAGGAGGTGCTGAGGTCCTCTGAGCCTCCCAGTCCATGATTGTGAATGTCCACTGTCAAGGAACGATTCAAGTGAGACGGGCCAGTGAGTCGATGCAAGGCAGAAGTGGCCGAAGAAGGAAGGTACAGGCTCAACGCCAATTCTGACCAAAGCCAGGCACGAGAAGATCAGTTGTGACAGCAGCTTGCGCTTCGGCGGCCACGGCATCCACGTTGACGTCTACGCCAACAATGCTGTCACCACACACGGTCAGGCGCACATTGTGTTCTACAAGCAGCCATACCCTCGTGAGCTCATCCATCAAGCATGTCGACACACGGAAGCGATGACACCTACGCAGGATGTTGGCGCGTTGCTCTTGTTCGTACACCACAGCCTGGCGCGCAAAGATCTGCCAAGCTGCAGCAGTACCATTCTCAGCCCCATCCATGATGACTCTGCTCTCCAGATGTATCAAACAACCCCCGTGAGTGTCCAGAGTCCCGTGAGTGTCCAGAGCCCCGTGAGTGTCCAGAGCCCCGTTTCACAGCCCCGTGAGTGTCCAGAGCCCCGTTTCACAGCCCCGTGAGTGTCCAGAGCCCCGTTTCACAGCCCCGTGAGTGTCCAGAGCCCCGTTTCACAGCCCCGTGAGTGTCCAGAGCCCCGTTTCACAGCCCCGGCAGTGTCCACAGCGGCCCCCAAAGTCTGACATTTGATCCGTTGTTGTTGATGCTTGTTGGCGCTGTTGTAATAATCTGACATTCGCCTTGAGAGATGTGTGTGTGTTGTTGTCAGCAAACCAGAACTAGGCAGGTGCACATGACGAAACAAGCGAATCCGCCCCCTGTGGCTGCGCTGCTTGCCTCCACTGCCCCGCTACTGCCCCGCCACTGCCCCTCCTGGGAGATTCATTTGTTTTCTTGGCCTTCACGCCTTCATATGCCCCCGCCGACCCGTCGGTCCTTGGGCTTGGTCTGTTGTTGGGTCGTTGGAAAAGAGCCACGGATCTCTTTGTCCTTTTTTGATTGCGATCTTCTTTCCTGGTGCACGTGGAGGCATTGCACCTGACGTTCCACCCGAAAGACAAGCCTTGCCTCGCTCGCATACTTGGGCGCAGCACGGCTTTGGTGCTGTTGAGCCTGCGCACGGAGCGCGGGATGGAAAGTAGCCGACTCTTACACTGCCTGGGGTTACCGTGATCATGGCGTCTTCGACTACGGCGGCATTCATTTCCAGCTCAATAAGCTTGATGCTCAGCTCGACCAGCTCGACGGATTTAACAACGACCTCCACGACCTCCACAACCTCCACAACCTCCACAACCTCCACAACCTCCACCAGCTTCACCAGCTCCACCAGCTTCACCAGCTCAACGCCGTGGACTTCCTCGAGCAGCCAAACGTTTGATCATGGCAACCAATCCAGCACCACGATGGCCTCCACGCTTGCAAGTGTGCTGCCCGGCGCTGCAGCCAGTTCCGATGTGCCTGTCGACACAGTGTCAGACACGAGCATGGCCATTTTGATTGCCATGGCCGCCGTTATGTTGCTCCTCTTTGTTGTGCCCTTGGTCATCAAAATCTTGGGTTGCACACGATCCACAGCCAAAGACACTCAACATGCCGCACAGAATCGAAGCTTTCAACGCACCAGGGCCCGGCTTCAGCTCACTTTGGTCAGCATGGCCTTGCTCTACAAGCTCATCATCATCATTTGGAGCCTCTATCAGTTTGGCTCTGCTCTACGCGATGCCAATGATCTCATCAATCCCTCTGATAGCGACGACGACGCAACAACAGAGAGCTGCATCGGCGAGCTCAATGACGCCCCAACCCCAGTGTGCTGTCAAGGTGAGCGTGGTCTGATTTCGCCGTGCTGCTGTCAGAAGCAGCCTGTCGGGTGTACCTGCCTCAACACGCAGTGAGGAATGCCACGGCTCATGATCTTTGTTGGTGCATAGATTGTGGCGATTTGTGCACCGCTGGCGAGTCTTGTGTCGCAGATGGGTGCGTGCCTTTCGACTCTCTACCCTTGCTTCCCCGCTGCTCTGGACTGTGGAGCTCAATGTCCATCACATAATTGCCTTGTTCACGCAATTACTTCAACCTTTTTCTCTCTTGCAACAGAGTGATGAGCTTGGCATGCTGTCCATCAGATCCCTCGGTGGCTCAGGAGATGGCCTGGGTTCTGGTCATGGTCTCTGCCTGCATCACCATCCTGGGCTTGGGCGACGGCGGCTTTGAGGTGGGCTTTTGGACTCTCAGCTGTGGTCTGTCGGCAGCGAAACAAAGATACCACCAGAGCCCCAACGGACCTTCTCCCCATGCAACTCACCCTCCCTTGTTTGATATTGCGTCGCGGCCTGCTGAATCAGGTGTACTACCTGTTCAACTACCGCGCCGAGCCCGGATGGCTTTTTGGAGCGTGGTCGAGCGCTTCTGTACTCTTTCACGTGGGGCTGGTCGTCTTTGTGGTATGAGCCTATGCTTCGTATCGGTTGGATGCCCCAACGTCAAGTGCTCACTTTCTTCGTGGCTTTGTCTTTCCATGTCTTTGAAACTTTAGACTCTTTTTTTCGCAACGGCCAGTCACGGTGCCGACAATATGGCTTGTTTCACTTGCCAGAATCGGGATATCTTTGCCAGTCTTGCAACCGTCATTGGTGTAAGTGAAGGGGTGGACTGTGATAGGCTGGCCCTGCTTATGTCCGGGTGACTTTTTCACCGACCCATCTTGTTCCTTATTGACCTGGGCCCTGTCTGGTGTGCAGCTGCTCCCGGCCCTGGCGGCGGTGAGCCTGAGTCTGACGCTACCCACCCTGGTTTTGACTTGGGTCTTTGGCTATGAGCGGACAGATCGCGAGAGCAATGATGCCCCCAACTGCCGTCAGAGGTGGGTTTGCTCAAGCGCGAAGCAGTCTGTACTCCGAGTCACTGGTTGTTGTTGAAGCGCTCGCTCGCCAATTTTTGCTGAGCTGACGCACGTAACGTGGGGCCTTGGGATGCGTGACCGATGCTGGTGTCTAGGTTGCGACGCTGGATTGCAGCACACTTGTGCTGTCCTGAACCAGCGTATCCATCTGATAAGCACGCATACATGGATGAGTCTGTGTATGTTTGAAGCTCTGGCTGTTCTTCTGTCCTTTGCGATGGCTTTCTGTCCGAAAGCTGGGCCCCAATCTTTTTTTTTTCTTCCCATGACTGACCTCAAGTGTGCGCCCGACACCTTCTGGTCTGCTAGGTCGACATCCAAGGACGATGGTCCAAGTCCCACAATAGTGCCCATGACCAACTTTGGGGCCTGGGCCGCTGGGCCTGCTTTCGACAACGACACAGGATTTGGCGACAGCGAAACAGACACCATGTCTGATGTGTCACGTGGTCGGCGCATCACCCAGTTGGCACCCGAAGCATCCGAAGAGGACACACGGGCACGCTTACAAATGGGCGGTGCCAAGTTGCGCCGCAACAAGGATGGCTTCCTCGACTTCGAAGTCACAGCAGTACCAGATGAGCAAGCCGATCCGACCCCCGTAAGAAAGGACCCAGCTTCCTCGACCAAGCCAACCAAACCTGTTCACAAGGTTCCCGCCCAGCCCGTATGGCGCCCCTAGCCGACACTTTGGGAATGCGCTGGCGAAAGCGGGTGTTGTCACAGCTGGTTACACTCTAAAAAGCACATCTTGCCAGGCGAAGCGAATGCTTCTCATTACTATGAGCCGACAATTTAATTATTTACATCGCGAAGGTCGAGCTGCACTCGAGAGTTTTGCTTTGGGGTCAAAAGTAATGTCGTCCGTGATGCCAGACCATAGCTTGGATATTGACCACATGACCCTCTCGAAAAGCTTCAAAACAAGAGAGCTTGAGCCTAGCATCCGAGCTGAGCCGCCGTCACACCCAATCCAAGCAGAAGAACCACATGTAAGCCTGCCATCTTGCTCCGCCCGAAAACCCCTAAAGAACAACAAGGTAAAGCAGACGTTCAGACCTCTATGGCACTTTCACGTGCGCACTGCAACAAGAAGGCCAACAACAAGAGCTCCAAAAGTCAGACAGATTAACATGAAACAACAACCATAACCGCACACACACACACACACACACACACGTTCTTGGAGGGTGTCTCATTGTGTGCACTGCATGCTTTTTTTTTTCTTTCTGGGCGGCGGACTAGGCCTCCTTGACTCGGGTGTCGGTTGTGGCCTTGAGGGCGGCCTGCTGTTACGGTTGCCATTACCCATTGCTGGAGGACTTGTGGTGTGTGTGGAGGGGAAGCAGCTTGGGAAGGGTCTCGTACGACCAGCGAGAGGCACAATCTTGCCACTTTGCCATGGCTCGGCTGCGATCCTTCCTGACGGTAAGTGTGGCTCAAGGGTCGCCAGGCTTTATGGATAATGCCAACTCATTCCTTCGGACCTGGGTTCTGTGGCTCAAACGACGATGCTAGGCCGCGGTGCTGCTAGCCCTGCTGTGCCATTCGAAGGCCAATGTCGCTTCATGCGAGGGGGATGCCTGCACGCTCTGCACATGCGCTGAGGATGGCGCTCAGCACTTTGCCGTCGTTTGCGAGGACATCACGGCCGTGCCGTGCAATTTTACCATGACAAACCGCACCATTTCGTCGCTGGTGAGCTGCCAGCTCTGACGCCATTCTCACCTATGCCTTGCACGCGCCTTACAGAATGATCTCATCCTACCCTGACCCTCTTGTGCTCCAGACCATCACGGGCTCGCTGATGAAGCTTGAGGCAGACGATTTGGCAAGCCCGGAACTCAGCACCCTGACAACCCTTGATCTCTCCAATAACAGCATCGGTGCTCTGACCGCGCACACGTTCGCCACCCTCACTGCTCTCCGAACATTGCGCCTTCGAAACAATCCCATCACCAGCCTGGCGGGCAGCGCATTCGTTGAGCTCCTCAACCTCCAGACGCTGGACCTCGAGGACAGCTCCCTCACGACGCTTCCGGCTCAAGCCTTTGCTGGCCTCTCGCGCCTGACGAGTTTGGCCCTCAAGTCCCGCGCCAAGATTGCCAACATGGCCGTCAATGCCTTTGTCGGTCTCGACCGCCTCCCAGAGCTCGACCTCTCTAACCAAGCCATTCAGGAGATTGATATTGGCATGTTTTCGGGCCTAACCTCTCTCACAAAACTGGACCTGTCCAACAACCGCCTCAATACAATCCAGAGCACCGCCTTTAATCCACTTGAGAATTTGAGCGCGCTCAATTTTGCCGGTAATCCTTTCAATGGGGTGGCAGCCAGTGCTTTTCGGGGTCTGACTCAGCTGACCGCGCTCAATCTTTCCCATTGCAACGTCTCCACCCTTATCGGCGGCACCTTTGAGACTCTATCCCGAGTCACCTCACTTGATCTTTCGGGCATCAAGCTGCGTACCCTGCCCAGCCAGGCCTTTGCCGGCCTCTCGGCCTTGCCCGAGTTGGATCTCAGCAACATGCGCATCACAACTGTGGCTGGCAACGCCTTTGCAGGTCTTGATGCCCTCACCACCCTGAAGCTCCTCGGCAACCCTATCACAACGATTGAATCCTCAGCCTTTGCCAACCTCCCCGCGCTCAAGGCCCTCAACTTGAGCCACTTGGGACTTTCAGTGCTGCCCGCCAACACCTTTGTCAACCTTCCGGCGCTTCAAAACCTCACCCTAACCGGCAATCAGCTTGCCACCCTCGGTGCCAGTAACCAACCGGCCTTTGTTGCTTGCCCACGCATTCGATCCTTGGATCTTTCAATGCAAAAACTGACCGCCATTACAGCCCATGCCTTCAGTGGCCTCACTGGCCTCACCTCCCTGAACCTTCGCAACAACCTCATCACCTCATTGGCCACTGGCGCTTTTGCCAATCTCTCCGCTGTGCGTTGATGACCCTCCCTCTTGTGCCAACACCGTCGTTGCTTTTTTTTTTCCCTCCCCTCGTGCTCTTTGTGGTCTCACCCCACAGGAGTTGGCGTCCAACGCGCCCTCGACACTCGCTCATGTGCTATACTTGCTTGTTTGCTTTGCTGCCTTAATCAAATGTCAGGTGACGCAACTTGATATTCGGAACAACAAGCTGACCGCCCTCGCTAGCTCATCGTTTGACGGCCTCAGCGCTCTCCAGTCCTTGAGTCTGGCAAACATGGCCATCACCAAGCTGCCCCTGGGCGTTTTCAGCGGCCTGAACGCACTTCAAGTGCTGCGCTTGGACGGCACAGGTGTTCAAGAGATTGGGGCCATGGTGCTTGCTCCTCTGTCGCAGCTATCCACACTGTGGCTGAACAGCTCGCAGCTCACTACCATCACCACAAAATGGCTGGCAAGCAAACCTCACCTGATGCAGGTCGACCTGTCCCACACACAGTTGCAAAAAGTGCCCACTTTTGCTTTTGAAGACCTGCCTGCCCTCGAAGCCATCAACCTTGATAACACGGCGGCACTGACGACGGTCGAAGGCAGCGCTTTTGCCAACCTGCCCCGACTCCAAAGTCTGGTCGTCTCGGGTGGCAGCCTGGAAACATGGGCCAGCAACGCTTTGGTTGATTGCCCCAGCCTGACGACCCTAACCATTAGCCACCAGCGCCTAGCGGCCTTGCCGACCGAGGCATTTGCTGGTGCTTCTGGCCTCCAAGCACTAGACCTCTCATATAACAACATCTCGGACATTGGGAAGAATGCTTTCGTGGGCCTCAATAATCTCACTCAGCTGCATATTGAGGGTAACCCCATTGCCGTGCTTGAGGAAGGGGCGTTTGCTGGCCTGCGCCGCGTGCAAGCGCTGGATTTGGCCGCAACTGCCTTCACAATCCTTCCTACCAATGTCTTCGCCAACATGAGCGCCCTCGGCCAGGTCACTCTGCCGGCATCCCTCGCAACGCTGCAGTCCAACGCGCTGGCTCACTTGCCCATGCTCGCGAGCGTTGATTTCTCCCACACCAAGCTGAGTGCGCTCCCCGAGTACAGTCTGGTGGACCTTCCGCGGCTGACCACGGTAGCATTGCCACCCAATCGACTCACTGCCGTGGCAGCCAACGCGCTAAGCGACTGCCCGGGCCTTCTCTCCCTTGACCTCAGCAATCAACAACTCACGACCTTGGAAACCAACTTTTTGATTGGCGCCACCCACTTGCAAGCACTCAATCTCAGCCACAATTCCAAGCTTGAAGCCGTCCAATCTGAGGCTTTTGCGGGCTTGACGCGACTCACAACCCTTGACCTGACTGGCGTCGTCTTGACGAGCCTTGCGCTTCACGCGTTTAGCTATTTGCGTATCACCAATCTTGATCTTTCCACCACGCAACTCGCTGACCTGCCCACGGAAGCCTTGTGGAACCTACCGGAACTGGCCGCCGTGCAGCTTCCGGCCACACTAACCACATTGAATAAGCGAAGCTTTTACCAACTGCCCGCCCTACGCTCGCTTGACTTGCGCCATACCAAGGTCAAGGCTTTGCCCACGGAGGCGCTGTCCGGACTGACCAACTTTACCCAGTTGCAGCTGGCGCCAGCTCAACTCACAAGCTGGGGGTCCAACGCCATCGCTCAGTGCCCAGCCTTGACAAAAGTAGACCTTGCGGGCCAAGCTTTGACTCGAATCCCCGCTTCTGCGTTTGCCAACCTGTCCCATGTGGTTACCATCGATCTGAGCGATAACCTCGTGCTGACCACCATTGAGGCGGGCGCATTTGTGGGCACCAAACAAGTCACCAGTCTGCAGCTGGTACACACTCCCCTGACCAACCTGACCAATGGCTCTTTTACCACATTGGGCGTTGCCACGTTGGATTTGAGTGATGCCAAGCTGACGCAGCTACCGGGCGACGCCGTGTCACAGCTTCCAGCCCTAACCTCCTTGCAGCTTCCGTCCACGTTGAATGTGCTTGATTCAGATGCTTTTCATGCACTGCCGAAACTTGTGACAGTGGATCTGCGACCGACGAGCGTCTCTCATCTTCCCACTGGAGCCTTTCGCGACCTGCCTGCCTTGCAGTCCATCCAGCTTCGCGGGCAGCAGCTGACGGCGCTCGACAGCATGGTTTGGAGTGCTGTGCCACGACTCACGGCTTTGAATTTGAGTCAGCAGGCGCTCGTGAGCGTTGCTCCCGCGCCCTTTGTGGGGCTGGCTTCGCTTACACAGCTGAACCTGTCACACAGTGGACTGATTCATCTTCCTGACCAAGCTTTTGAGGGTCTGAGTCATGTCACAAGCTTGGACTTATCGGGCAACGCGCTTCAATGGGTTGGTCAGGCCGCCTTCCAGGGAATGGTTGCGTTGACAACGCTGGATCTATCGGACACTCAGCTGCTGGCGCTTGGTAATGCCAGTGTGGCGCATCTTCCAAAGTTGACTTCCCTGAAGCTGCCCACCACGCTGCGACAGCTGGCATCCGCTGCTTTGCTCGATTTGCCTCAGTTAGCAACGCTTGACTTGAGTGCCACCCAGGTACAGCAGTTGGCGAGTGGGGCGTTGTCGAATTTGGCCAAACTCGATTCGCTGATCGTTTCACCAAGCCTGGAGACCCTGGTGCCGGGTTGCTTTACAAACATGACTGGTGTGACAAGCCTCGACCTGGCAGGAACTCAGCTGGCACAACTGGAGGCGCAGGTTTTGACAGGGCTCCCAGCGCTGGAAACAATTAACCTGTCAGTGTCCGCGGTTCGGACGCTGGGGCCCTTGGCCTTTGCGGGACCGACGTCGCTCTCTGCGGTGGACTTGTCAAACACGATGATCGAAGCGTGGACAACCAACAATGCTTCACAGGGTCCTTTTTCGAAGAGCACGGCCATTGTTTCACTGTCATCGGCAGGCATGGTCTTGAAGACTCTTACCCCACATGGCTTTGATGGTTTATCGCACCTGAGTGCCATGGACTTGTCTGCAGCAGACATTACAAGCATCCCAGCGCTGGCTTTTGCAGGCCTGAGTAACGTAACAGCCTTGCTGCTCAATGTTTCTCGCCTGACGCAACTGGGCAGCCAGGGCTTTACTGGTCTGAACCACTTGCTGACTCTGGATCTGAGTAACGCGCCCCTTGCGACGTTGCCAGCGAGCGGATTTGCGGGCTTGACGACCCTACAGACACTCAACATGAGCGGAGCGCACGTCACGGCGCTCCCAGCCGACGCCTTTCAGGGCTTGAATGTTCAGCTTAAGGACCTGGACTTATCGGGTAACAAGCTGGCTCGTCTCGAGGCAGCGGCCTTCAAAGCCGTGTCGGGTCTCCAACGCTTGTATTTGAGCGGAAACCAAATCACCCAAGTCGATGCTCAGGCCCTGGGCGGGCTGTCAACCCTCATTCACTTGGATCTGAGTGACAACGCGTTGGCCGCCCCACTGAACGTCAGCGTGCTTGCACCGCTGACCAGCCTGCAGCAGCTCTGCCTGGGCAACGTCAAGATCAACTGTTGCGGATTTGAGAAACTGCGGGACGCGGGTGTGATTGATGCTGGGTGTGGAGGCGCTGCCGTGTGCAGCCTACCTGCGAGTGTGAGCGGCAAGCAATTGAGCGCAACCTCGGGTGAACTCTGTTCGCCCGACAATCCTCACAAGGGCGGATCAAAAGCCAACAAGCAGGAGATCATTGAGATTGCTGCTGGCTCTGCCGGCGGCGTGGTGTTGCTGGCGTTGGTCGTGGGTGCTGCCATCTACGCGCGAAGAAAGAATCGCCGCAGTGGCGAGACAGCGCCCTTGTTGCGCGAGCGCGAGGCTAACCTCCAACGTCGGGCAACGCCTCGCCGCCGTGTCTTGCGCGATGAACCTGAGTTTATCGAGGCGTAGTTGACACACGCCTCCCGTTTTCTTGGCCCATACTTTTGTCCGTGGTGTTTTCATCATATTCTTGTCTTGTTGTGAGTTGAAGCCTGATTCGGGTATCGTCTTGCCGCTTCCGCCCTCCGTTGTCGTGCCCACGTCCTCAAAAATTGAGCCAAGTATGCTGTGTGAAGCTCTCAGCAACATGATCGCCGTCGCTTTGGGTTCCACTTCTTTATCATCATCATCCAAAAGAACAGTTTTTTTTTTTTTTTCTTTCTTTTTTTGTGGATTTGGATCAAAGTTTTTTTTTCTTTTTTGATTTTTTTTCGTGCACTGTTGTCACTCGGCTCGTGGAGGGGTCTCGCAGCGCGGCGAACCTCCCACTAGGTGGACTTGGTGGCGGTGGTGGTGGTGCGACTGGCGAGGAATGCGCATAGCTTGGGTAAGCCACTGCCAGTTTGTATAGCAGCGGCCTTCAACAGGTGGTCGCCATCCCTTGACTGGCGGACCAATACAGGAAGCGAGGCTCGGGACCGTCATAATGTCTATTCCAGGCTCCCCCACCGAGAGCACCTCGAGTAACTCGAGTGTGTTGCTGCTGGATGGCGAACGCGGGCGTCAGCTGGTGGAAGCCCTCAAGTCAGATCTAAATTTGATGGCCACTGAAGCACGCAAAAAGGCCACTCCCTTGCGGCTGGTGCGTACCGCCCCACGCTTTCGCTGGAGCCTTGACTCTTTTGATCCAACTAGCGCTTCAGCCCAATCGAGCTCGTGCACTCAATCTCATGAAGAACCGACGTCTTGGACTGGCTTGCCTCGTAGGCTGTCGAAAGGGCATTGGTGCGACTTTCAACAGTCGGAAGCTTGCCACCCACCAGCATCTTACCCGGTGCGTCAGCCTGACCGAGGCCCCTGGTTAATTTAATTGTCTTGTAGCTTGACGCCGTTCCCCTTTTTTGCTCGCGCATCAAACCTGACTGCATCTGCTGTCTGATTGACTCTGGCACATGTCAACAGAAATGTTGCGTGCCAAGGATTTAATGCAGTCTTTCTTGCTGGGCCTGGAAGAGACCAAGAACCCCCGCGTTGTGCAGCTCTCCATGGCCTGCATTCATCGAATGATCGATACCGACGCCATCGACCACGTACGTTGTCCTTCTCCGGGCGCGGCACAAAGAACAAAGGCATTCTGACGCTATGCATCATCCATGGTTGAGGGCAGCCGACCTTCATGTACCATGTCTTGATGAGTGGCCTTGTTTTTTTTTTCTTGTTTTTTTTTTTTTTTTTTTCGTGTGAGTTTTTCTTTTCTTGTTTTTTCCCATCGATGCCCTCAACTCTAAAACATGGATGTTAACCCTGTAGGAGTCCAAACTGGTTGTGCTGGAGCGACTGCAGCAACTGGCCAGTACTGGTCAAGAAGAAATCAAGATTTTACAGTGCGTTCTCAGCCTCGTCACCACCAGCCCTGATATTCGCGGTGATGATCTGGCTCAGGTAAGTCTGTCGCTTGCTGGCCGCGATCTTTTCAAGATCCTGAAGCAAATGCCCGTTTCGGCTACACACGCGTCATGCATATTATTTTATTGATTGCTGGGCATGCGACTTGATGCGCGGGCTATTGGGTTCTCAATCACACATAGGCTGTGGCCTTGTGTTTTCGGCTGCACTTTGTCAAGGACGTCATGACAGCAGCCATTGCTGCAGCCAGCTTGCGCCAATTAGTGGCCGCAGTGTTTGAGCGCGTGGCAGCAGAGGATCGCAATGCGAGCGAAGCTGTCGACTCACCTCGCCGCCATGCTCCCGCCGCTGGCGATGCATATCTTCTGTTTCAAGACCTCTGCCTCCTCACCAACGGCGAGTCTCCACACTGGCTACAGGGCCTCACCGAAATGACGCGCACCTTGGGGCTGGAACTGATAGAAACAGCCCTTTTGGCCAACCCCGACGTGATCCTTCGTCATGTTGAATTTGGCCACTTGCTCAAGGAGCGTGTCTGCGCCCTCGTCATCAAACTCTTCTCGCCTTCCATTCAGCAAGGCGCAGGCGCCCGCATGCCTGTTCTCCTGTTTCCCGTGGCCGTTCGCTTGATGCATGTTCTCCTTGCGCTCATTCAGCACTATCATTCCCTGATGTATGTGTCCACTGGGCTTGCGTATCTGTCGTTCGATCCCGATCCAGCCCTAACTGCAACCCTGAGCCTTGCTCCATCTTGCCTCGACACCTGTCTGACCCTTGTGGTGCTCCCTTGCCCGTACCTCCGCCCTCCAAAACAGCGGTACAGAATGTGAAATTTTCTTGACCATGTTGCTCAAGTTTTTGGACGCCGACAAACTGCTGTGGCAACGAAGCATGGCGCTGGAGGTTTTGCTTGAGCTTTTCAAGAAGCCCGAGTTTCTGTTGTTGCTGACGACCATGGTTATGCACAAGAGTGCTGTTCCCGGACAGCTCTTTGAGCGCTTGTACCAGCTTGGTGCCAAGACCATTGCCACGGGTGACGACAAGCTTGCTCTATTGTCTGCACATCAAGGCAAGGTTGTCGTCATTAATCTTCTTGACAAGAATGACAGTCCTCAAATCTCGCCCAGCTATCTGCTCTCGGTCATTTTTGCCATTGTCCAAGACGCGGTCAAGTGCATCTCCAGCCTCGTGCAAATGGACCAAGCTGACCCCCACACCGACACTGTGATCGAGGAGGAGAGCCCGGAGACGGAAGGGGAGCGGCGGGATGTAGCCCCGCTGCTCGAGATGGCAGGACGCAATATCATTAGTCTTCTTGACGTCTTGTTAGCGTTTGCCACTGTGGAAACAGCCACAGACGGTCTTTTGCGCTCACTGCAGTCGTTGCTGCGTGTCACAGCTCAACTCAAGCTTGTGACGCTGCGCCAACAGGTCGTCAACAGCTTGTGTCGTCACTGTCTACCAGATCAGTTCTCCTTTGCTGCCGAATTGCCCAGTGGCGGCTGGAATGTTACTCGAAAACACCTTCAGGTTGTGTATGTCCTCTTCAACTCGGCACTCTGCCTGGGGGCCTATCTGGACGATTCATGGACCGCAGTGATTGGTGCCATGCAGCAGCTGGTCGCAGTTTTGGACTTGCCACATCCTGAAACCACGCAGCTGAGTTCCGCGCCTGGTGCGCGCATCCTCTCGAACAGCCAGGGTGAGCGTAACAGCGGTGTTCGGCGGCATCATCGCCGTACCTCATCCTCGGGGAGTACGAGCGGCAGCAACTTTATGACAATGACAGCCTCTGCGGCCTCCGAGCTACCGGGTTTAGCCGCTATGTTGGCGCAAGTGTTTGCCATGAGCCATAACCTCTCCAAATCAGCGCTCTACTTTCTGATCAGTGCCCTCTGCAAACAGGTTTGTATGGCCCTGCCGAGTCGGTGGGACATGTCAAGATTGATATGCAAGGTACTCACGTTTGTTTGTGGTATCGAGTAGAGTGAGCGCACGATTGACCTCCTGATGAGCAGCCAGAATGTTCCGACCTTGTCACGCAATGATGCACAGCTCTTTCCTGTTCGCCAACTTCAGTCGCTCGGCCTGGCCAACCTCAACCGCATTATGGAGTTTTGGCCAACCGTGACTGCGCACTTGATTGAGGTATGGCAGGAGAAGACCTCGCCTCTGCACCAACACTGGTGTGCAAGCTGATCACGCCATGCCATGCCATTTTTTATTATCATGATCATCATTATTCCGTGTTTTGTTTTTGCTTTTTGCTTCAGGTGGCTTTCTGTGAGGACGCCAAAGTCAAACTTGAGGGTGTTGAAGCCCTGACAACGCTGGTACACGAGGCCCTCGTAATCCCGCGCGACCCGCCCGTGGAAGCTTCGCCGGGACTTCAGCAGGCCATCCTTTCTCCGCTTCGCAACCTCAGCAAAGTCCAAAACGTTCAAGTGGCACGGCGTCAGCTCGAATGCGTCAAAAAGGTATGAACAGAGCTCAAACTTCTTGAACCAGCAAAGCCATGCACACGTGGTTGTTTTCCAAACCCTCTCGCCTGACATGTTGTGATTTCCGCTTGACAATGTTTTCGCCTTCTCCTGTCTCGCCCCAGGTTCTGGATTCGTGTGGGCAATCGCTCTCCCATGCATGGCCCGTGGTCATTGGCATTATCAACGATGTCATGGCCACCACCAACGCCAACAGCGACGCCACGACCGTGCGCATTGCCTTTGAATGCGTTCAGATGATCATTACTGATTTTCAACCCACGATCCCCTCGCGCTGTTTCCCCATGTTGCTCAATTCCTTGGGGCTCTTTGGCCTGCAGCCTGTGGCGGTAAACGTTGCTTTGACAGCCGTTGAGCTCCTCTGGAACGTGGCGGACTATTTGCACCAAAATCGTGTCAGCATGCAGGAGCGGCTTGATACGCTGCCCATCAATACGGCCCAGCTCAACACGGTGGATGAGGATGGTCTCCCCACACACGTCTCCCTTTCACGATTATGGGTCATCCTCTTCCAGCAGCTTGCACGCCTCTGCCTGGACTCGCGTGCTGATGTGCGGCGCAGTGCTTGTCAGACCTTTTTTCTGACCATCAACACACACGCAGCTATCTTGGAGCTCGACGCCTTTCAAGAGGTGATTGTTGAGATTCTGCAGCCCCTATTGCAGGACATCCAGGCTGCTGCTGCACGGGACATTGGTGCGGACACCAGTACCGACTATGGATCGGCAGCCAAGCAGTGGGCGGAAACCAAGTGTCTGACAATGGCCGGTCTCGGCCAGCTTATGGTGGGCTTTGTTCAACGGCTGCTGGAAATTGAAGCATTCAACCAGTTGTGGGATCTAGCACTGGAACTGTTGGCCGTGTGGATCAACGATCTGCTGAAAGAGGTTGCCAAGGCCAGTGCCGATGCCCTCTTGGTCATGTTTGGCTGCCACGTCGCTTTGGGCCATGGAACCTCACCCATGGAGGGGCCCGTGCGTCGCGGGTTTCAAACCTGGGTCAAAGTTGTTTTGGATGCCAGTCGTCGCCAGCCACCCCATCGTGAAAAAACTCTCATCCCTTTGGCGGGCTGTGTGGAGCCGCTGATGTTGCACCTGCAAGCCAGTCTCACGGATGAGCAGGCTGCAGCCTTGCTCAACGCCCTGCGCCACCTCATGGACTGCCATCATGCCGATGTCATGAGCATTGTACGTCTGTCAGACCTTCAAGCCGCCACTTTGACTGGTGTGCAGCAGTTGCTGCCTTCAAGCAGCCATCCCCACGTGGACCACAAGCACCAGCTCATGGCCGTACAAGAGCTGCGGCGCTACATCACGTATGCCATCGCCCCACCTTTTCAGGTGAATAACAAATCCATTTTCTTGGGGCTGAGTGCAGCTTGCTGCAAGGCTGTGGCCGAGTATATGGCCACCTTTGGCCAGGAGCAGTTTGTGGTAACTGCACAGCTACAGCTGGATCTCTTGACCACGCTGACCCCTATCCTTGCCAACCGCTTCTTTGCGGATGAGGATTGCAAGCTTTGGCAAGCGGCTCACACTTGTGCTATTGCAACAATCGATCATGGCCTGCGAGGTCTGGCCACCTGGAACACCATCCTGGGCCAGACGGATTTGGGTACGATGTCCTTTCAAACACGCTCTCGGTCGCGTGAGCCTCTGCATGCATGGCTGCATTCCTTGATGCGTGACACGCCTCACCATGCACGTGATTGTCGAATACTAGATCAAACGTGGACGGCCCTGCTGGATTGCATAGAAGTGTCTTTCTTCCCGGAACGCTCGGCCGACACGGTGGGTGCCCCACCGCAACCAGAAAGCGACTTTGCATGTCTAGTTTGAGGCAGCACGACAAAGTCTTGGATTTTTTTTTTGATTTTTTGTGGGTTTTGTGGGTTTATTCTCATCTCACCAGAGGTTGCTTGCTACGGGTACATTTGCTCAGATTGATTCCACGGTTGTACCATTGGATTTGGACATGGTCACGTAAGCAGCCACGCTGTTCGCTTGTTGTGTGGATACTGTCGTGGGCTCATCCAACGCACTTACGCTGGATTTACCCCCGCAGACTGATTCAGGATGCACTTTTGCCCAACACGCGCTCGCATTCCAAGCGGGGCTCGAGTGCTGCAGGCACTGATGTGGTGGTGCCACCGCATGCCCTGTCGCGCACAAAGGACATTTTGACGCGTGCAACGAAAAACATTGGGAATGCAAGGCGACCTTTGAGTGAGGCAGCAGTGAAGGCGTTGATTGCTGCCGACTCGCGGAGCGCCGTGCCAGCAGAGGGCGTTTCATCCGATGCAGAGACTGATCAGGCAGGCCACGAGAGTACCGGTACAGTAGCCAATCTGACGGATGGATGTCTCGCTTCGCTGAAACAGTACGGACAGGAGCCGGGGGATTCAAGGCTTAAGCACGACCTGTTGGTGCTCTTGTCATCCTTGCCAGCCATGATAACACCGCAGCATCGCCCGCAGGCCAAGCGGCTGTATCAACCATTGCTCCACTTGCTTTGCACGAGTGACGACGTGGCACTGCGCGACGCCGCCGCGAATGCACTTCGTTCCTACGAGGCCTTGCTCTGAGAGAGGCTGGCTTGATGTTTCATGGACGGAGGTTGCTTTCTTGTGTGTGTATGTGTGTGTGTGTGTGTGTGTGTGTGTGTGTGTTGTTGTTGTTGTTGTTGTTGTTGTTGTTGTTGTTGTAGTTGTTGTTTTGGTGCTTGTGTATGCTGGCGGTGTATTCTGTTGCGTTTTGTCAACTAGGTTTCGATGGGGTAAGAGATGGAGAGGATCAGAGAAGGCAGGGTGAGATGTAGTTGGTTCCTGTGTTCGGGAAAGGCGGTGAAGGCCCAATTGAAGTATCTGAAAAAAGAATGAGAAAAATCAGCGGAAAGAAAAAAACGAACGAAAGAAGAGCCTGATTAATTGAAAAGGGTGAATACTCTGATGAGACAAGCGCAGAAATGATCAGAAGTTTCTTGACCGGTGTTACTGACCTAGGAAGCACGGGGAAAGACAGAAAAACGAACAGCAAAGACGACCAGGGCACGCAGGACACAAACAAAATGACACTCGGCAAGGTATCACAGGTACACGACACAAACAAGAATCATTGGGCAGTGACATGTCTTGTGTCAAAGTCTCAATCGCGACAGCTTTCCACACCGCCCAAAAAGCAGTGACAAGGACAACAAGACGTCAGCCCAAGATTTTTTCGAACATGCAGCCGTCACGAACTAATGAGAGCAGACGCTGTTGTCTGGTTTTCTGATTCTCTGGTTTGGATGGATGACGCCATGGTGGGCGACCCCCAAAACGTCGGCTGAACACAAATCTAAAGATGAAATATGGCTAGGATTCTGGGGGCGTTGGGGCAGATCACCGCGCCTTGTTGCCGTTTCGGTTATGCGTACGTTTGTGCTTTTGGAGGTGATCCGAACGAGAAAAGGCTTTGGGGCAGATGGGGCACTTGTAGGGTTTCTCACCAGTGTGGGAGCGGATGTGGCGGGCGAGTTCATCGGAGCGCGAAAAGCGCCAGTCACAGCCGGGATGGGTACAGGAATAAGGTTTCTCCCCGTTGTGACGTCGCATGTGGGAACGCAGGTGCGAGACTTTGGCATATTCCTTGGTGCAGCCGGGCCAGGTGCAACGTAACAGACCATCAGCCGTTTCAATGAGGTCTGGCGAGGCCTTTGCGCGCTTGGATGGGGGCGCGTCTTTGGAGGCGGGTGTTGCTGAACGCTGAGAGGCAGTGTGGCTAGTGCGGCTGGAGCGCCCGGAAGTGGGGGTGGTGGCAGCTTTAGCACGGGAAGATGCGGCTTGCTTGGTGTTGCGGGCGGGCTTGGTGGCTGCCTTGTGAGATGGGGCAGCGTCCGCTGGGTTGGGGTTTGTGGGGTCTGCATGGGCGAGGGCGGTATTGATGGAGGGCAAATCGAAGGGGATTGGGTTGGAGTTGGCTGCGTGTGCCTGATTTGTGATGGCGCTGGTGGTTGCAGGTGGAAGTTGATGTTGAGCTGCGGCGAGGAGGAGCGAGGCGTTGCTGCTAAAGAGATTGTCTGTGTCAAGACCGGTATGGTTGGACGTGAGGGCCGTATTGTCGTCGTCGTCATCCAGGTCTGAGGCTTGAAGGGAATCAGGGAGTCCGTCGAGAACGGCAGAGAGGTTGGTGGGACCGGTATGGTCGGCTTGGGCGACCGACGAGGAGGTGTGGGAATTAAGTGCAGCCAGCTCTTGAAGATATGACTCGGTGGGGTCGTCCTTGAGGGCCGAACGGGCCAGAATGTCTGAGGAGGCGCCGCTCTGGAGGGCCCATGAGGCTTGGTTTTGCACGCTGGGGGAGAGCATGAGTAAGCCTTGGGCAATGGGGGAGAGGACGAGTGGGGCAGTGTTGGTGGCCTTTGGGTTGGTGTGGTACTCCCGGGCGGAGCTGATAATGTCGGCGGAGAGCATGGAAGACTCTTCGGACAAGACGCGGTCCTGGTCTCGCCAGCCCGTGGCAGACATGCGACGAGGACGGGTTTGGGGGCGACGGTATGCGTCGCTGGTGGCGGAGGCTTGGGCGAGGGTTCGAGCTGCGCTTGCGGGGGATTGGTTTGAGGCGCTGTGGGTGGGGTGGGAGGCAGCGCTGGCGGTACCGTTGAGGTCGTTGTAAGGGGGTCTCTGATGGCCGTGCAGGCCGGTGGGGGAGGTTGGGGATTGGCGGCGATGATGCCGACGGCCATTGGTGCGAGAGGTGGGCGAGGTGGTATTCGTGGGGGCCGTGGATGTGGAGGTGGGAGGGGCGCTGTCAAGAACAAGGTCTTGATCCTCGTGCGCGGCGCCGTCGGGGAGAGAAGAGGTGGAGCGAGAGAGGAAGGCGACGAGATCGGCTTCGCGCGGTGTTTGGAGAGCCAAATCTGACTTGCCACCGGCGGAGAGGAGGCTCGAGTTGAGCATGTACATGTTGATGGGAGACATAAAGGGCAGTCCACTGCCACCGGCATTGAAGCGCGCTGAAAAGGGCATGTAGGGCGAGACTTGCGCGGCGTTGCTGTTGGTTTGTAGGGCTGTCGTGTCAACGCGTAGCTGCGGTGTAACAGGACTCTCCGGGCGAGGAATGCTGGGGTTGGTCCCGTTTGCAGCGCCGGTGGTCGAAGTCGAGGCGGTGGCGGTGGCTTCGGTCGCAGCATCGTCCGACGCCGTGGTGGCGGGATCACGTGAATTACTACTGGCCATGGTGATAGTGCCCACAACAAGGGCCATCCCGGGGCCTCGCACAAGACGACCGGGTGGTAAATCGAAGGATGAAAAAGCCTGCCCAGCTCCAAGCGGCCGCGAGTCAGACCGAGGCTTTTGAAGTCAGGTGCTTAGGCCAGAGCCCGAGTAGGTAGCAGAACCAATGCTGCCTCGCGCGGAACATGGGGAGGTCCCGCCCGTCAACCGAGTGAGTGAGTGAGTGAGTGAATGGGATGTCCACAACCCCCCTCTCAAGGATGAAAAGGAAGAGAAAAGGAGGGGAAAACATCCAACGCCTTCAACACGCCCACAATTCCAGTTGCTCCAGCCAGTCCTGGCACGGGCCAGCAAGCCGAGGCAAAAGAAGCAATAGACGCCCTCTGACCAGAACGCCGGCGGCCGAGGCCGAGGCAGAGCGTTACGAAAAGGGGGCGGGACTCTCACCCCCGTGAAACGGTTACAAGGGAAACACACACAGAGCGAGTGCGTGGGCAGGGGGAGAGAAGTAAAGGCTTTCTTGAGGTCGTGCCGCGTCCAGTCCCCGCCGGTCCGAGCTTCAAGGACAAGGATGAAGGAGGCACTGACAGCCGCCGCGATCCCTTTGCACTGACATGTGAACCAGCAGCAGCCTCTGCGTCTTGTGGCACAAACGGCACACACACACACACACACACACACACACACACACACACACACACACACAGTGGCACGACTCCATAAGAGACAGAGACGGACAGGCAGGGTAGGGGTAGAGGGTGTGTGGGAAGGGTGTGTTTTTGTGAGAGGATTTTTGGGAGTTGGGGTGGGATGAAGAGAGAGATTGAGGGTGGGGGTTGAGGTTTTGGTAAAACTTTTAGGAAAAGAAGAGATGGAGACGGAATCAGAGAGCGAACCAGAGGCAGTCACAGAATAAGAAGTAAAATCAGAGGCAGAATCAGAGAGAGAGAGGGAGATAGAGAGAGAAGCGACATGCAGTCTGTGGCGTTTTGATTTGATTTGATTTGATAAGATACGCTTCGACATGCTCTGCACAGGATGATCGGTCCATGAGACAAGGGCGCCGCTTCGGGTCCCGGCCCCCCGGTTCATGTGTGAAGACGGGTGTGGCATGGTCTCCTCCCGCTGCCTCGCTGCCCCATATACACGGAAGGGGCGAGGGATCTGGACGGTTCCGCGTCCGACAACTTTATCCAGTTTCCTATCTTCAAAAGGTTCCGCCTCCACGCTGTAACACTTGGTAGTTGGTGCTGTTTTGACACACGTAGCGCTGGTGGGTCCCCAGGTTCCCGAGGAGACTCGTCTTCTTGTCAGATAAATTGACGCAAGAACGGGCAAGATTCTCTCTCTCTCTCTCTCTCCTGTTGTTGTTACATGTGGTAGTTGTACTTTTCCTTTGTGTCTTTGCTCTTTACTTCTCTCTTTCTCAACCAATTCATCTATTTCTCTCTCTCTCTCTCTCTCTCTCTCTCTCTCTCTCTCTCTCTCTCTCTCTCCTCTCTCTCTCTCTCTCTCTCTCTCTCTCTCTCTCTCTCTCGATTATTTTCAGGTGAAGCGAACGGAGAGAGAGAGTAGCTGGGGGAGCAGCTGGAGGAGGAGCCTGTGGGACAGCAAAGCAAGATGGCAGCGGTGGGTGGCTGGTGGCGGACTGCGGGCCCAGTGTGGCGGATCGGGGGGTGTGGTGGAGTGGTTCGATCCTGCGGGGTTCAATCGCGATCGGTGGCCTCGTTTGTGGCGACGTCGGGGCCACCACGTGCCCGACGAGTGGCCGGACTGGCGGCCGCGGCCACGGCGGTCACGGGTCTGGCCTGGGCGACTTGGCGCACTGCTCCTGTTTGGGCCGAAGAAACCGATCCGACTGAGCAACTTCACGCTGCGGTCACGGCTCGAGGCCTCTTTTTACACGATGCGGACGTGACTGCGTACATCTACACGCCTTGCCCGTTCTCCACCAAGGTACCTCATCTACCTCATCCCTTACCCCTTACCCCTTACCCCTTACCCCTGAGCAGCGATGGCCCGCCTTTATGGAATACTTTATTTATTTTTCCGGTCGCATTTGATTTTCAACCGCCAATCAGCTTAATTGCTCACCCATGGACCCTGTTCTCTGTTCTCTGCCGCACCGACCACCCCGACCCAGGTTCGGACATATCTAGACTACTATCGCGTGCCGTACAAAAAAGTCGAGGTCGATCCCCTAAAGAAGCGCCAGTTGGCCTTTACCAGCTACAAGAAGGTGCCCGTGGTGGTGATCAACGGCGTCGTCTGCTGCGACTCCACTGCCATCATTGACCAATGCCAGACTCTGCTCCCCGCCAACCACCCGCTGCGTGTGCCCGACTCACCAGAGCAGGCACGCTGGCGCAGCTGGGTGGACGAGCACTTGGTCCACCTCCTTCCCGCCAACATTTACCGCAACATGCCCGAGGCTTTGGAGAGCTTTGACTACCTCATCAACTCCTCCTTCAACTTTTCTCAGTCCGAACGCGTTCTCGCCCGCTACTCGGGCGCCGTGATCATGTACCTCCTCTGCCGCTTCAAGCTCAACAAAAAATACGGCATTGAGAAACCCCGCGAAGAGCTCTACGCCGCCGTCGACGACTGGGTCGGCGCGCTCGGCGAGCGTGATTTCCTCAGCGGAGACTATCGCCCCGGTCTCGCTGACCTCGCCGTCTTTGGTGCCCTTCGCTCCATGGAAGGCCTGCGCACCCTTGACGATGTCCTCACCCACACCAACGTTCGTCCCTGGTACGAGCGCATGCAAGCCGCCATTGGCCTCTCCACTGGTGAATACGTCGATGCCTCCCTCGGCGGCAAGCCCACCGGCTGGTCACCCGACCAATAGCACCGCACACCCACACAAGGGCCTTCTTTCCGTTTTTGGTCTTATTCGTGCCCCCGCGCCTCGACACAAGCCATGCTACACGCAGGCCACGCCTGTCCACCTCATCATCAAGACCACCCATCACATCTCGATGTCCCCTCCCCCTCCACCTCCGACATCTCGTTTGTGATGCTTCATCTCCAGAAATCGATTCAGCTTTCAGCTCTCCCCCTCTCTCTGAAATTCAAAAACTCTCTCTCTAAATCTCTATACAAAATCAATCAATCTCTCTCTCTCTCTCTCTCTCTCTCTCTCTCTCTCTCTCTCTCTCTCTCTCTCTCTCTCTCTCTCTCTCTCTCTCTCTCTCTCTTGT